ACAGCGCTGGGAAGCTTGTAGTGTAGACTTAGTGCTTTTACATTCGGTTCCTTTTATATGAGGTATTTCAGAAGGTCCTCCCCCAACCCGGGCACAACCATAGCCATTCATTTATTTATTTAAAAATATTTTTTTAATGTTTACTTATGTCTGAGAGAGAAAGAGGCAGAGAAAGAGACAGAGACAGAGAGACAGAGAGAGACAGCATGAGTGGAGGAGGGGCAGAGAGAGAGGAAGACACAGAATCTGAGGCAGGCTCCAGGCTCTGAGCTGTCAGCACAGAGCCCAACACAGGTCTCAAACTCACAAACCACAAGATCATGACTTGAGCCAAAGTCAACACTTAACCTACTGAGCCACCCAGGCGTCCCTGTAGCCATTTAAAACGTCCAGTTATGTGAACGGTTATCAACATCTGTGCTATAAGAGAGTACTAAGCACTTCGATGAATTCTTCAGTTAGAAGCATATTGAAAGAACTACCCATCACTATAAATCGATGACTGCCTAATACCGAATCTACAGAAATGGGTTTGTCGGTTGTACAAACGAGACGAGATCTCGCACAACTGTGGGAAGTGTCCAGCCCCCCCAGGACCACAGAGGGAGCAGCCCCCCTCCCCAGTCCGGTCCATGTCGACGGGTTCAGCCACCCGTTTATTAGGAATGGCTCATGAGCCTCTCCGTTTCTGCTGTTTCCCCCACCTCGTCCTACATTATTCTCGTGGGAAATTCACGCAGTGTCACGTTGGTATAGCTACCAAGTTTCTTTCCCCCTGTTCTCCTTTCCTTCCTGCTGAGGGGCTTCTAGTACTTTCTGCATGGAGGCCAGCCCCACACACAGTTAAGCAAGGCTGTGTGCCATGTAGCTGGTTTCTACGCATACTTTGGAAAAGCTGAATGCAAATTCAGGGCAGAGTATATTTATAGAGAGAGTATATTTGGTCGGGTAAGCCCCCCTTACCCTCAATCAGTTAAGCCCCCCAATCTAAAGTTAGATTAAATGGGCCTCAAGCACAGAATTTAAAAGTGTGCTAAAAGGGAAACTCAACTCAAAATAGGAACCCACTTTATACCACAATTTGGGATGCTGTTTTTAATCTATATGGTGGGGGTAGTTGTCCTAGGGTTTTTCCCCCTTACTCTAACAGACTTTTCCTTCTTCACTTGAAGAGAGGGAAAATCCAATTTGCCACTTCCGAGAACAATGACGGGAGAGGCAGCTTTGCTCGTGGTTGAGAACCAGCTCTGAGCCACGTGCTGGTCTCCATCCCAGCCCCACCGACCAGGTGTTCCATCCACAGTCACGTGACCAACCTCAGTTTCCCCACCTGTTCCAAACAAGAAGTCTGTGCAGCTTACGCTTTCTTTAAAAAACTGTTTCAGGGGCACTTGGGTGGCTCAGTCGATTAACCATCCGACTTTGGCTCAGGTCATGATCTCGTAGTTTGTGGATTTGAGCCCTGTGTTGGGCTCTGTGCTGACGGCTCAGAGCCTGGAGCCTGCCTCAGATTCTGTGTCTCCCTCTCTCCCTGCTCCTCCCTTGCTCATGCTCTGTCTCTGTCTCTCTCTCTCTCTCAAAAATAAATAAACATTAGAAACAGGCGCAAGGAGGTGCGCCTGGGTGGCTCATTCTGTTACACGTCCAACTCTCAGTTTCAGCTCTGGTCACGATCACATGGTTCGTGACTTTGAGTGCCAAGTCAGACTCTGCACTGACAGCGCGGAGCCTCCTTCGGATTCTCTCTCTCTCTCTCTCTCTCTCTCTCTCTCCCTCTGCCTCTCCCCTGCTCATGCTGTCTCTCTCTTTCTCTCAAAATAAATAATAAAAATAAAACAAAGAAAATTAAAAAAGTAAAAAACTGTTTTAGTACCTGAACCTGGCCCACATGTCAATAAATTATCGGAGATGATGCTGTGAAGTTTCCCGACTGGCTCAGGTAACCATTACCCACTCAACCCTCTTGCTGTCTCCACCTAAACCGGCCCTTCCTTTAGAACCAGGGATGATTAAAAAAATTTTTTTAACGTTTATTTATTATTGAGAGACAGAGAGAGACAGAGCATGAGCATGGGAGGGGCAGACAGAGGAGGAGACACAGAATCTGAAGCAGGTTCCAGGCTCTGAGCCGTCAGCACAGAGCACAACACGGAGTTTGAACCCATGAACTGTGAGACCATGACCTGAGCCAAAGTCTGATGCTTAAGTGACTGAGATACCCAGGGGCCCCTAACCAGTGGTGGCTTTTAAGTGGCTGACTGTGCTGGAACAAAGCGTCCCTGTTTTCATGTTTGTATTTAACAATTGTGAAAATGATGCTGTTTCTGAAAAGGAAAATTAATATTAGGGTATCAGTATCAGACCCTGCTCAAATCCTGGCTAGACTGGGCTCATGAAACACTCGTGAGCCATGGTTCCCATGGCAACAAGCAACATATTTTCAGCGAAAGTGGCTCCTTCCCATTCTCTGAAAGAATCTCCGGACAGCGCTGCCCCGTTAACGCTCGTCCACACAGAACACTTCTCATTTCCTTCTTCGTTGCTAGTTTCACTAAAATATTTTCTACATAATTAGTTCTTTTTAAAAGGACAGATTATTCGGCTGAAAGTGAGTGGTGAGTCACCACCTACATGTATGCATAGTGAGTTGGCTTCACAAACCACCGCTCGATGGGCCTTGAAACAGACGGTTAGGGTAGGATGACGATGTTATGTTTTAAGGAGAGCTCTCTCGGCGGTCCAGGAAAATGGCCTCCCGACTACAGCAGGGGATCCAGGAGGGTGACACAAAAACGCCAGCTGTAACTGGTCTTATGGTTTTAATTCTCAGAGACAGAAAGACTAACATTCTTCCTTGCGCTAACGAAAGGGCTGGGCCGCAGAGCCCAAGCTGCTGGGGGGGGGGGGGGGCACAGAGAGAAGCATGCATGAAAATACGTATCAACCCCGTCAGCCAGGGCTTCTCCCCCTGCACGTGGGGCTCAGAAGGGCCCCTTCCTCCTGGAGCCTGGTGGGAGGGGCATAGTGGTGTCCAAGGACAAAACAAGTATTTTCAGAGGGAAAACACTTAGCTCATACTTTGGCAGATACTCTGCACGAAATAAGTATTTTAACCCAAGCTTCTTTCCCCACATCCAGCAAAAATGCCCCTTTTCCATGTACAAGTGGGGTGCACATGCACCAGAGGAGCTGACACGTACCTGGCGCTGCGTCCCCCCCCCCAGCTATTCCGGGCGAGAGGGCAGCCCCCACCCAGTGTGGGCTCGAGCCCCACCTCTCAGGAACTCGGTGAGCTCACACAGCGAATGGGCAGAACCTGGGGCCTGGACTCAAATGTCCTGACCCTGCGTCACGCCTGTGTCTAGATAAGAGACTTGAAGGGCAGTGGGTCGCTAAGTCAGAAATGGCCTGAACGCCTCGTAACAGGCAGGAAGACGGGGGCGGACGTGGTCCTTCCATGTTGGCAGCGCTGACGTCTTAGAGGAAGAGGAAAGGCTACTTCCCGCCTGTGTGTCTGGACACAGCACATCAGGACGCCCCTGGTGGGGGCTGAAGTGGGCATGGGCGGCCCCTCTCCCCGCCGCTGGAGCCTCTTGGTGATGGGGATGCCCGTGGGACGATCCATGATCCACACAACTCACGTTTATAGAACATTTTCTATTTGTCATATTCCTTCCCTTGAATTCACCGAGCAGAGCTTTCTGTGGCCCCAGGATGGATGTGGGCCAGAGCCCTGAGCCCTCTGCCGCGCACGGAGATGGACGCTGGGGTAGGTTCCGAGCTCCCGCCTGATGTGGAGCCCTCCCCACATCTAGTCTAGTTTCTCTGACCACCCATCCTGGCAACTCTCTGGAGACTGATAATTTTCTAGGGAAGCTAAATGCACTGTGCTCAGAGACACCCTAGAATGTTCCATGTTCACCAAGAGAAAACATGCCCAAAGAGCAGTACCAGTGAGCTGCTGAGGTCTGACTAATCCCCCAGAGCCAGCAGAGATGGGCACATCCCACGCTCCCCGCGGGGTGGCCCCTCCCCCAGAGCAGACTCCCCACAGGGGCTGGCTCTCCAACGGTCTGCAAAAAATGTTCATTAGGGGGGAATGGATGGGCCCCATTTCCTTTTCGTCTCTCAGATAATATTTACATAAAGGATCTTGGTTTGTGGTTTTCAGAGAGGTATTATTCTCTGTTTTTGAGTACTTTAAGTCCCCTGGGGATGGAAGGAACATTTGTTAAACCAGATTCCATATGCGTGGAGAAGTTACAACAAATAAACAGACATTTATGTAGTTTAATAAAACCCGGGTTCCTACAAATCCGACCTTCTACCATGCAGGACCCCAGCATTCCGGTGCCTGTGTTCCCGGATCTAAGAAGCCGGGCTTCATGCATCTATGTCTTTACTGTAGCGTCTAGGACCTAACGGGGATCAGTGGGTTGCCGAAAGCATGTTTGTGGACACAGGAAAATTGCCAGATCAGATGGTCTGCTGGTCTCGCTGCCCAGCGTTCAGTAATTTTGCCATATTGATTATGACTGAGTTTCAAACATGCCATCTAACGGATACTCCTGGGCTGGCTCACCAAACGGTGCAATTCGTCCACTCCAACCAACAAGCCAACAAGAGCCAAAGCAACCCTACAAGCTCAGCGACAAGTCCCTTTGCAAAGGTTTATTTCCAAAACATGTTGTTATTCAAGCACTCAGCCGTCTGTGCGTAAGGAGGTCACCAATTGTTCGTGCCCTGCCACGGATCACATGCATTCTGCGACCCACCGTGTTTCACCCCAAGTGGTGGCTGGGCTAGTCTGGGAACAGATCATTTGGAGAGGACTCCCAGATGGGCTCTGTCACCAAAATCACAGGAGGTGTCTTCAGTGATTTGTTTTCAAGGCAAACTCCCTGGAGAGCTCATAGAATGCAGCAAGCCCAGCAAATTTTCCAGAGGAGATGTGACCATGTGAACACGTGGTCAGCTAAGGTAGTCCCAAGGTATGCTGTCAGTCATCTTCCCACTGCCCCTTGACTGAACGCAGCACAGAGAAAGGGCCGTCGGGGTCCCAGATGTGAGAGTCCAGAGGTCTGGCTTGGTGCCGCCTCCTATGGGCCACGATCCCTCTAGGTGGAAATGCTGGGACTGAGGCCGTGGCCCTCCGGATCTTCCACGAGGTTCTGCACCTGCGCTCACCGTTCCCACGAACACACGTCTGCCTTCACCTGTCTTCCCTACACTCCCGGCCTCAGCCTGAGCAGGGGGTCTAAGCTTTGGGACCTGATGGCTCAGGGTCCCAACACGGAACGGGACCAGTCAGCTCCCTCTGAACCCAGCTTAACCAAAACACACTTGGAGGCGAATTACGTGGGCTCCCTGGGCTGACAGTCCAGGTGTTTATTTCCAGAAGTTCATAGCATGCAAGTACAACAGACGTAGAAATGAACAGCTTTGTATAAGTGCTTCCAATGTGAACTTTTCAAATGCATTTTTACTATTAATAAAAAAAAAAATCCTGACTTCCTAGAAATAAAAATAAAGAGATAGTTTCCTAAATTCAACGCCCAACGCACTTTAGACCATACCCCATCTTGTCCCCCTACCCCCTACCCCCTACCCACCCCCGGCAACAATTTTGGTGGCCGTTGGATGAGAATATGCCCCATGAACCTTTGCGGGACAATTATAAATAAACATTTAGACAAAACTGCACTTTCCTTGGCTGGACCGATGTCCTGACTCTTCACCCCTCTGACTCAAGTTGGTGTCTCCTCGTCTCTACCTCTTTGTTAAGGCACGCAGCATTTCTGGAACGCAAACACAGTCTCTCAGATTAAATTTGGCAGCTGCTTTTGCAGAGAAAGGGAAGCGAATCAATGCAGAATTTTAAATGCTATGATCTTGATCTTGGCAACTGGCCTTCGCAAATTGTCGACTCCAGTGGAATATGGAGGGGGGAAAAAAAAAGCAGAAACACCTGTTCCCATAATGAGTATGTGGTGAAACAGCACCAGATGGTCCAAACGTCGTGTCCCAGCCCCCATGATGACTGTGCTGGTGACTAGCCAGCGCGAGGCCGCTGCCACTGGCCGCCGACTCGGGGCTGGATGCTGCCTCAACACAGCCTTCGGAAGACGTCATCTCCATTCGCACCAGCTCCAAGGAAGGCAGATTAGGCGAGCGCCTGATGTCCCCTGGAATGTGGACAGGGACCAGAAACCCACCGTGCACCAGGCAGGAGTCAGACCCACCTGCCAGCCCCGTCCCGTGAGCGGCGTGGTGGCCCAGAGGTACCTTCCGGTGGGGGGAGCCTGACCAGCTCTGCCTTCAGAGGGACAGCCTGTATGTGATGGGCTGCAAACACCTTTCTTCTGCCTCTGTTTCCACCCCTCTTCGTACTAATGTTACCATGGGCTCACGGGCGGAGCTGCTTGCCTGGCAGATGGGGCTCACACCCAGCAGGGGGGGTCCCACCTATGAGGCATGCAGTCAAGGAATAACGAAATCAAACTCTTACTCTACTCATTACTAAAAAGTTAAATTTAGTGATTGTTCAGCCTTTAAAAATTTTTTAAAAATGTTTTAGAGCTTAAACACCATGATTCTAATCCTGTGTGAGACTGACACGAGACGTATTTTTATTCCCGGCCTGTAACACCTCCAGGGCGGCTCCCTTCAGTGATTTACACGCTGAGAGCAAGCATTTCCTGGAGCTTTGGGAACAGAGACCTTTGCGTGGCATTCTGTGGTTTACAGGTTCACCTCTAGATTTGTCTGGAATATCTCCCTTGCCCCTCGTGGTGAGTGGGGCGGCCACACTGGCTTCAGGCCACAGAGGCAACAGCTGGGGTGAGCGGCCAACACAGGCTTCCGAGCCCCAAAGGTGGCAATCCGCGGAGGCAGGATGGGAAGCTGGCACTTGTCAGAATCATCCATTAATCCTCAGCCCGAATATGTAAGAAGTTGCTGTTCCTTTCTTGGCTGACTGTTGTCTTTTATTTTAAAAACTAATAGCTTTTTTTTAATGTTATTTTTTGTAGTTCTTTATTTTTATTTCGGAGGGAGGGAGGGAGGGAGGGAGGGAGAGAGGGGGAGAGAGAGAGAGAAAGAGAGAGAGAGAGAGAGAGAGAGAGAACGAGAACAAGCAGAGGAGGGGCAGGGAGAGAGGGAGACACACATTCTGAAGCAGGCTTCAGGCTCCGAGCTGTCAGCACAGAGCACGACACGGGGCTCGAACTCACGAACCCTGAGATCACGACCTGAGCTGAAGTCGGACGCTTAACCAACTGAGCCACCCAGGTGCCCCTAAACAGCTTTTTAATAACCATTAAGTTTTTTTTTTTTATACGACAGTTTAAAGCTGTTTCTGAGTAGAAACAAATCATAAGAAAAATACATCAAATGATTAACTTTAGTTTTTCTTCAGCACATTATGGGAGGCAGGGTGCCCTCTTTTCTTGATCTTATAGATGATCATGTACTGAGAGCCACAGTCCAATGCTCACATTAAGCACTGACGTTCTGAGGCCGAGAGGTGCTCTGGGCTGGTGGGAGGCACCAGCCACGAAACATGTGGGACACCAGCAGCCCCAGGCTCCTTCCACCAGGAGACTTCCCACTTCCCACAAAGGGGAGCCTGGGTGGCTCAGTGGGTTAAGTGTCAGACTTCAGCTCGGGTCATGATCTCATGGTCTGTGACTTCGAACCCCGTGTCGGGCTATGTGCTGACAGCTCAGAGCCTGGAGCCTGCTTCGGATTCTGTGTCTCCCTCTCTCTCTGCCCCACCCCTGCTCATGCTCTGTCTCTCTCTCTCTCTCTCTCCCAGAAATTAAAAACAAAACAAAACAAATCAAAACAAAAACAAGTTCAGAGTCCTCTGCCTCTTACGGTTCCACCCAAACTAGCCACACAAGAAATGTCTGCCTGGGCTCCTTGTGTTCGAGAAAGCACACGTATGTTCACATACATGGCATAAACATGCTATATTCCTCCAGTAAAAGTAATGAAAGCTCTTAATATTTAAAATGTATTGTGATTTTATTAGTTGTAGCAAGAATGATTTCTAATGCTTATTTCCAATGCAATTAAAATCTAAGCAAATGTTGGGGCGCCTGGGTGGCGCAGTCGGTTAAGCGTCCGACTTCAGCCAGGTCACGATCTCGCAGTCCGTGAGTTCGAGCCCCGCGTCGGGCTCTGGGCTGATGGCTCAGAGCCTGGAGCCTGTTTCCGATTCTGTGTCTCCCTCTCTCTCTGCCCCTCCCCTGTTCATGCTCTGTCTCTCTCTGTCCCAAAAATAAATAAACATGGAAAAAAAAAAATCTAAGCAAAGGAATCTCAGGCCACTGATGACACAGAGGGATTAAAATCTCTTTGCAGAGAACGCCCTCTTCAAAGTGTGCACTGGAACCTGTTAAGGAGTCATGAGATGATCCCACAAGGCAGGTCCTACCGCCGTCGCTCAGTCTGCCTTACTGTAACGTGATCATGCTCGCTAAGTACGGGTTGTATCTTCCCACGTACGTTGTCCGTCCACCCATTTGTTCTCATTCCACAGTGCAGTGTGCCGCACAGCTGAGGATCATCTAGAAGGGCGTAAAGAATGCATCTGAAATGTGTTCTGATGCAGTGAGCAGGAAGCAGTGCACAGTACAGAGATGTAGACAGCACTCCGTCATCACAGTCATGCTTGCCGACAGACCAGAGCTTAGTGATTCTAGCCACTGAAAAGAGGATAATTATGTAATGCGACAGAGGTGCTAATTATCGCCACGATGTCCATCGCCACGATTAACAAGGGCACCAAATTAACATGTCCGATACCGCAAATGTGCACAATGCTCCATGTCAAACGTATCTCAGTAAAAATAAATAAACAGATAAAATGGACTCTGAGCATAAACTTTTGACTCCATAAGTAACAGGTGGGGGGGGGGGTCACTGAGGCTGAGTTATGGGAGTATTGCTTGAATCTTTTTTTTTTTTTTTTTTTTTTTGTGAACATGAAAACGCTGCTGTTCTGCCTTAGAGGGGGTGTCCCAGGGAGGAGGCATTGCCTACTTTCCCTTTCTGGAGGGAACACATGACAGACTGAACCGGTTGGGAGAAAACTCAGGAGGAGGACTCCGCTCTGCGTTGACGCCTGCTGTGTGCGGCTGCACACCCGTGTGACCTGTGCCAACAGCCTGGTTTTAACCACATCCATCTACTACACACTGGGGCATTTTTCTCTAGTCATCTCTGTGGCTACAGACGATTGCCTTCAGGAAGTATTTTCTAGTAAGCTGTTATTGTAGGAGCATTTCACAAAAGGGCAGTGTTCAGCATCACGGACTCATCTGCTTGCACGTTATCAATAAATCAATGCAGCCCTTCATTCTATCCACACTCCCCATACACTCAGTACCTCACTTCCCCAGTATCTTGCCAAGTCCTGAAATCACAGAAACGAATAAGACTCCGTCCAGGACCCCGTGAGTGCACGGTGGGGACCATCAGGGGCGTGCCTGGGTCTCAGTTAAACAAGAGGAGGGTCAGGCTGGGCAGGTGCTGCCCCTGGGGAGGGAGTGACAGCCCCCAGGGAGCTTCTGGATGGAAGCCCTCAGCACCTGGTGTTGGGGCAGGTAATACACCTGTAGCATAGGCACCCACTCATCTCCTGTTTATAAAGCTTTGCTCTGATGCATTTTCTGTGCCCAGCCATCTTTCCCTTCCTGAGATAACCCCCCCGCGGTCAAGAGTGATCACCATGAGAAAACTAAGACTACTCCTATGTATTGCATAGACACCCTTATTTTATCCTATACCACAGTTTTCTAACATCTGGCTATTTCCCATCTGTGATCACAGATAAAACGAATTGGTAATCTTCTTCCCTTGTATTGTCCTTGGCTTGTTTTGGTGCCAAGAAAATACTACTCATAACATTGGCTAGCTTTTCCTTTTTTTTAGTATTTTCTAAAATATTTGCCTTCAGCTTTCCTTCCTTTTCTATTTATATTTTTTGCCTCCCTCCCCACCTTTCTCTGCCCCCCTTAGTCTCTCTAAGAAGATGGGAGTTGGGGTGCCTGGGAGGCTCAGTCAGTTGTGCGTCCAACTTTGGCTCAGGTCATGATCTCATGGTTCATGGGTTCGAGTCCCACTTCAGGCTCTGTGCTGACAGCTCGGAGCCCGGAGCCTGCTTCGGATTCTGTGTCTCCCTCTCTCTCTGCCCCTACCCCGCTCATGCTCGCTCGCTCGCTCTCTCTCTCTCTCTCTCTCTCTCTCTCTCTCAGAAATAAATAAACATTAAAAAAAAAAAAGAAGTGGGAGATGCAATTTTTACATGATGGATCCACTTACAGATAACTGGTTTATTTGGTTTCCCAATTCATTCTTGAGCCAGTTTTATTTTTTAATTGTCCTTTTTATCTAGATTTTAAAATTTATTAGCATGAAATTATTCGTGTTATATTAGGATTTTTAAAAAAACTGGATTTTTAAATTCTCCTGATTTATCCTGATCAATTCTGATAGAGATTTTTCTATTTTCAAGCAACCAGCCATTTCTGCTTTCCATTTTGATTTCGTTGTTCTTTGACCTTGATCATTTTCTATTTAGTGCAGCACTGTGACCCCTTTCCTAGCTCATTTCACTCTTTATATAACTCATTTACTTTTCATTATCCTTGTCATTTTTCAATAAATGCATCTACGGAGTTTTAAAACTACAATCTAAGTACCATTTTTAGTTCTGTCCCCACAAATGCTGATATTAGTGTGTGTGATGTTATTTACTCCAAGTATTTCATAATATTCATTGTGGCATCATCAAGTCATGAATTACAGAGATGTTTCCTTCTGGCATCTGATTGTTCCTAAATGTACAGATGTTTGTTCGTGTTATGGTTTCTAATTTAATCGCATTATATTTAAAGCAAGTAGCTTCATCATATTCATTCTTTAAAATGTTTGTGGTTGACTTCTGTAAATGCTGCACGTGTGCTTGAAAATATTTATTCTCTATCTGTTGAGACACAGTTACATTACCTCTGTCACTGCATTCTTCACATAATTTATATCCTCATTACTTTTATTTTGGTCAGCTGGAGCTACTTGTTTCTAGAAAATATATTAAAATCTATGAATGTAGACTTGTCAATTTCTCTTTTCTTGCTTTTTTCTTGATTTTTTGTGATATTTCAAGTATAATGAAAGGTTTTTGTCTAGCTGACACTATTATTATTTCACAATAAGTGATTTTCTACGTAGACATGAAAGTTTAGATGGGGGGTGCCTGGCTGGCTCAGTCAGATGAGCGTCCGACTCTTGGTTTTGGCTCAGGTCACAATCTTAGGGTTTGTGAGTTTGAGCCCCACATCGGGCTCTGTGCTGACAGCATGGGAGCGTACTTGGGATTCTCAATCTCTCTCTGCCCCGCCCCCCCCCCCCACAAAACAAATAAACTTTAAAAAAAGGGAAGTTTTGATGGGAAGTAATTTCTCTTCAATACTGGGAGCTCTGACCTCAACCATTCTTGCAGGACTCCATCGTGGGTCTGAGCCTTATGCCTGGGGAGACTGAATTTCCAGCCGATGGTAAGAGTTGCTCTTGGTGTTGAACAGCCTTGAGCTTAACTACAGGCTGTTCAGGTTGGCATTCTGGTCCTTGCTGGTCGTAGCTGCAGGTTCTGTCTAGTGACAGAGGATGTCTCCTGGTTACTTCCCGGCCACCACTCTCTGGCCACTGCTTCCTTGTCATTTCCAGGTATCTTTTCTTCTGGGATTCCTGCTCTACATACGGATGAGTCTCTAAATGTCTCCTCCTTATTTCTTGGTCTCTGTCCGTGCTTTCCACTATATTCTGGTCAACAACTCAGAATTTCCTCCCCACACAGATCGAGGGTCCAGAATTTACCCTGCCTAGTGCATTATTTTTAAGTTTCAGTGACTATATTTTAAAAGTATTTGCTTCCTCATTTTTCATGAACATCTGCTCTCGATTCCTATCTTTTCCCTTGTCATTTGGATGGATAGGTATCTTTCTTTCTTTTCTTTTCTTTGTTTTACTTCCATGTGGCTTTTGGCCGGATGTATTCTAAAACCATCCTGTGATTGTCCTGTGACTTGAGGGCACCTGCAGGGCATTTCTCTTCCGTTGGTGAGTCTGCCCACTCACCACCCCCCCCCCACCTCCCTGTCCTATGGCCCCACGGTGCTTCCTCCTGGGACCTTCATCTGACAGGCTGCCCCTCGCCAAGGTGGCCTCAAGCTGTTGGAATGAGGCCATCGACGCCTGGTGTTCAGCTCGGAGGCCAGGCATTTGCTGATCCTGTCTGGAGGAACCTGCCTTAGCTGTGTCTGCTGTGTTCCGTTTCTCGGTCTGTGTTCTCTCCAGGTTTTGGACATGGGTCTAGGTTGGCACCTTGGCTCGCATCCATGTTCCTTCCCACGCCCTGAACTTCTGGCTGAGTACCCGTGCCTTGGGTCTGCACTGCAGGAGTCCCCTGGCCTTGTCCCCCACAGTTAGCGCACTAGGGGTTATCTTCCATGTGTTCATGGAGACTCTTATCCCCATTCAATAGTCCACAAAGGCCACTTTCCAACATGGGGCAGGAACCCCGGCTTGCCGTCTACACAGCCCCTTGTGTTCAGGTGATGCTTCAGGTGTAGAGACATCCCCCTCGGGTGCCCCCAGGGTCTGCCAACATCTCATGGTAACACTGCACATCTACAGCTTCCTGGGTCCTGGCAGGGGTGCGCCCACTGACCAGTGTCACCACACTCAGGAAAGAGCCACACGTGCTGTCCCCAGCAGACGTTTCTCCCTCCCTCGATTTGCCAGCCAGGCTCACTGGTTCCGATACTGCCTGAAAACCCAGGTAACGTTCTGACACTTATGAAGTTTCCAGGGGATGACAGCCAGACAGTTAATGCGAGGCCACATTCCCACCTACCAGAGAACAGGGATTTGCTCGTCCTCTATGGACAGGGGGCACGGCTGAGCCATCACATTCTTTAATACACACACATGTACAAGCTTTCACTGACATCGGTTCAAAGGCTGAATTCACAACGTCGTCACATCCGAAGCTACGCGGTTATGTATAATTTATATTACCTTGTTCAGTGCCAAAATACAATTAAAAAATTAAGTACCTTATTTTTCAAAGTGCTGTAAAGACTGGAAAACAGTAGGGACATTCCTCAAATTATTAAACAGAACTGCCGTGGGATCCAGCAATCCCACTTCTGGGCATACGTTCGAAGGAAATGGAAACACGAACCCGTGTTGACGGCAGTGTATTCACAGCAGTTGGTATGGGGACACAGCCTCAGTGTCTGCCGATGGATGCATGCACAGATAAGAGGACACTTAGATGTGGGCTATTACGCAGGTTTAAAGAAGGACTCTATCTGTGACAACATGGATGGACCTTGATGGCCTTATGCTGACTGAAGGAAGACAGACAGACAAAGACTGCACAGCCTCACTTATATGGGGAATCTACGAAGGTCAACCTGATACAAACAGGGAGTAACGTGGTTGCCAGGGGCTGGGGAAGGGGACTGGGCAGGTGTTGACCGCTACAAGCTCGCAGCTGGAGATAAGTGAGTCCTGAGAATGAGCGCACAGCTTGATTACGGTCAACAACACTGTATGATGAACGTCATCGTTGCCAAGGGACTGGGTCTCCATTATTCCCAGCACAAGAGAGAACTGATGATTATAGGATGTGATGGAGGTGTTAGCTAACTCCGTGGTGGTGATCATACCGTAACATAAACTTGCCAAATCAGCACGCTGGACACCTTAAACTGACATAATGTTATATGTCAATGCATCTCATTAAAAATAAACAAATAAGTGCTTTAGTTTGCAAAGTGCTACACACGTTTACTAAGAACTGA